TATATATATATATATATATATATATATATATATATATATATATATATATATATTTTTTTGTGTGTGTGTGTGTGTGTATATATAATGTGTGGGTAAATACTTTGCTGTACAGGCGGCTTGGCCACCCAAACCAGGTGCAGCCCTCACCGGGAAGATCCAGCGCCAGGGCCTGGTACCCGTTAACGGCCAGCAGCGCCAGGGTCCCCAGGTCCTCCCAGTTTTTGGAGGTGAAAGCCTGGCCATGCAGAAGAACCACCTGCAGCCTGAGAAAGGCGGAGAAGCGAGTCGGTATCGAGCACATCGTTTAAAAATGCATTTTTATCCTCTTCAGCGAGCTTTGCTTACTGAAGGGAGACAATTCATAAAGATGACGTCGTGGTTGGTTATCATTCAGAGCGCTTCCTCGCGCCGTTCGGTCAGTAAACGTAACCCTGGCAACAATTCGATAAAGGAACTCACAAAACAAACATGTACACATGGAACTAGGAAGTGTAGCAGGACGAATGCATATGAACATTAAGTATTTGAAGGAAATGGTAAGGTGTTTAGTTGGCAATTTCACATGGATTTCTTTATCAAGATAATTCTTATTTTAGCAAAAATAATCATGCAGCCATCATGTGTAATATACACACATACATACACAGATGCTGCATAACAACGTTACAGCTTAGAAACGGTAAAAAGCGAAGATGAAAGATACGAAGCCCGGCCTCACCTGGGCAGGATCTGTCTCCCCGCGGCGTCCACGGGCAGCGCCTCCCTGAAGAAGAGCGGCGGGTCTCCAGGCAGCTGCCCGGTGCGGACGGTCACATTGACAGCCGGCGGAGGAGCGAGGGAAGACGAACCGGCGGCAGTCAGCCTCTCCCGTAGCTTGACTCGCTGCACGTCCAAGGACGGCTCCATGCTGCCCTGGCGGATGGCGGGCAGCAGCAGGTACAGCAGCACAGTGGCCAGCAGCACCAGGCCGAGTACTACCAGCCGGTTGCGCAGAAAGTTCATAGTTAAAAAGCCGCTTATCTCGTATAAAAAATTTAAACCTTTGTAATGGGACACCCGGAGGAAACAAACAGATAATATCAGCTTTCGATGGCGGACGAATCGTGCAAAGGGAAAAAAAACACTAAACCTGCGGTTTTTTTTTTTTTTTACGTGAGCCGACCCATTGGTGTGCCGCTCGATGTTAATTATCTAACAGCGTCCGCCACTCCGTCGCCATAACCGGCCTACCGTCCGCTGCGGCCGCTACTGTTGCCGCCATGTCGGCCGCGTCGACAATTATCGCTCTCGCAGCTACCGCACCCTCCGTTCGCTAATCCGCCGGACAACGGCGGTGCCCACCCGCAGGGTCAGCCTGCTCAAGCGCGGCGAAGATCCGGAGCACGTCACCAAGCAGGCGCCTGTCACAGCGCAGCCTGCCGGGAAGGTACGGCGGCGCTAGCGTGGTGTCCTGTGGTTTGTGTCGGTGCCCCTAAGTCCGCACTCAGCCACTAATTAATAAAATGATCGCTAATCAAACTATCTGTGATTATTGCTGAACATATTACCGAAGGTACTCTAGCGGAACCCTGAAGATAAATCTTCCTGCATCCGCAGCAAAATTTAATACTTTTACCCCTGATTTACACTGGATGCGTATCCGCTGCGGTGCGGCTGCGCTGCATTCGCATTCCGTCCGAGGCCGTCCGCCAATTCACACTGGACGCGTTTGTGGTCCGTATCTGATCCGGCGCGCCGCTGGTTTGCGAGATCACATGACCACGGGAGAATAACATTTAACATAACATGTATCTATGTTTCTATGGATAACATAATGTGTCACTCCCATATAGGTTACTGAACACTTTATTAGGAGTTTACAAGTACTTCCCAGTACTGGTTACTTTCATTAATTAAAAATCAAGTATATACATAGTTAATTGGAAGATTCAACTTACCGTCAAATCCCAAAACTTCTTAAGTTTCATTCCACGCCTTCTCCTTTCTACTATTATCCTTGTAAAAAGGATGTCTGGGGTCGTACACAATTCCGTGTTTTTCCACCTCCAAAATTAACTTTTCGTTGTCCATGATGTGAAGGGAAGTTGGCGCATGCGCTCTGTGTTGCGTTCTTGATCCGTATCCGTCAAAAATAGACTTGATGCGCATCTCGACGGACTGCCGGACGTGTGACGGAACAGAGACGTAGCGGAGACGCAACGCAGCGGATCTGGTGTAAACTGATGCATTGACTTTATTGGCGGCGATTGCCTGCGGCTGCCGTGTTGGAAACGCACCGCAGCGGATACGCATCCAGTGTAAATCAGGGGTAAGTCTTTGCTGAATAGAGAAAGTTAGACGAATTCTGGGTAGTGAGTATTTCTCGTTAAAGATGTACAATATACAATAAGGAAACATTTCCTTACTGTATGTGCTCTTAAGTAAAGCAAACTAAACGTCAGTCACATACGATGACTTTCCCCAGTTCTGTTACTTTTGTACTACGTGACTTTAGTTCATGACTTAGTTTAAATTAGAGCCTGGAAAATCATATGTTAAACATAAGATGGAAGCTCACAAGCAGTTTCAATTATATCTCGTTGTTACTTATATAGTCTTTTGTTTTTTCCTCCAAGAATCTATCCCCCTGGATTCCCAGAGCTGGAAGATAGGAAAACAGCAGGGATGACTGAATGGAAACCTATCATTGATATTTTAAGAGATCCAGAATTAAGTAAGGAATATAGGAGCTATGTTATTAAGTACGGCAATGGACAGCACTACTGCTTCATGAGCGAGAAGCTCTGAATGCAAGCAAGACACCTAACAAAAGCTTCTGATTCACCTGCATCTTTCAGAGAGTAACTGCAAACTGATGTCACCAGCTTGCCACAGGAAAACCTCCATTGGCTGGCAAGTGGAGCCTCCTTGGAGACAATGCCTGGGTAATCAGTAACTGTTCCATGTAAGTCCCATCATAGCTGACATCTGCTTTAACTGCACCCAGGGCCGCAATGTTCCTGATGAGAAGTCAGGCTGTGATCGATGCTGCATGATACACTGTTGCAGTGGATGGGGCTGAGAGAGCGATCAGCCATGAGTGTATGCAGACTGAGGACATCACTCACCTACAAACTGTTTTTAACAAGGTTTCCAGTAAACAGCCAATCAGCAACCACTTAGAAGCCGAGTGGTTGATGTAATACGGTGACCTACACATACACCATCGTCTCCCACCAACACAGGAACTTATTTCCTAACATTTGACAGAAACACTACAAGTAAAGGTCATTTGCACAGGTATGAGGTGTGGATGGGCTTTGGAGGACACTCTGAAAAGTCAGAATCTTACTGGAGCAAATCTGATGGGATGGGAGAAAAAAATCATAAATGTCAAGCATAGACCAAACTTTGATAATGACCACAGCTGTTTGTAACTTGTACAGACAGAATAGGCACACACGTCAAATTTTCTGTCAAAAGTTAATACTGTTAGTATCATAACAGTTGACAATGAAAGCATGTATACAACAGGTATTTGTAGTTAGGCCTATATTCTTCTGTCAATACCAGGGAATATTAGGGAAACCTTTGAACAGTTTTCCTCAAAACAGAAACCGGCCCTTTAAATTTTTTGTATATATTGGGGGAAACACCGGATGTAGTCAAAGATTTTAAGTTCACAGATACAGAAGTATCACGCAGTGCCACTATTCAGAACACATTAATGAAAAGGATTAATACTACAGGCAGTTAATTCCAAATGAAACTCAAATGAAAATTTCTTAAGGTGCTCTCATCTTTGCTTTTGTGTCTGCGTGCAGCAGTAGATTTTGTTACTGGAACATTCATGGCATTTTCCAGGTTTCTAGGTCTCCACTTGTGCTCCTCATGTTCTCACCCCCACATCCCTCGATTCACTTGGGTCTGCTGCAGACTGTGGCAAGCTCAGACAGGCTGTCTTTGATTCCCTACAGCTTAGCTCAATCACAATTTAATTCTTACAGTGGAAGTAATGGGACTTGTGGCTCCTTGCACAGCTCCTTCTGTTGGACACCCGTGACCTACGACCTCTTCTCTGTGCACCGCGGCCCTCCCCATCCCGGGAAGCACTGGCAGTCAAAGCCCGCCAGCATGTCGCGGACGTAGCCGTTACCCTGCCGCGTTCTCAGGCTGTGCCAGCGGGCCCCGTGTGGCCCCACGGTCCGGACCACGCTCCAGCTCCCCGGATCCAGGTGGAGGTGCGCTCCAGGGAAGGTGTCTCCCCTCCGACACCGGCCCCGGCCGGAGCACACAGCCTCGCTGCAAAGAGCAGCGGCGCTCGTCACGTTGACCAGGTAGCGGCCCAAGGTGCCTTCTAGGTTGCTCTTGATGGCGATGCAGGTAGCCTGGGATGAGAAACACAAGGCTGACACACTCCGACCTTCCCCCATCACTATTTTAAATAAGTTAATTCCTAAAGAAATGGCTTTTATCTGAGGTGACGTGTCTTTTTTTTTGTCCTTGCTTAATTACGTAAATGGATGCGTTGGCTAATTGGACAGCACTGTAACCTCTCTCCTCATGTGGGTTCGATTCTGCCTCTGTAAGTGTGTAGTTTGGATATTACCCCCCTGCTCCAATTCAAACCCCTCCAGTTTAGGGGCACAGGTTTCTCATAATTTCCCTGTGACTATGTGGATGCCCAGTGGTGGTCTGACATCCTGCTCAGGCTGTATCCTGCCCTACACACTGTGACAGTAGTTTGGCTTTCACTTTACATTTGTGTTCTATTTCACGCTCAGGCTAATTTTTGTTTGATGTTTTTGCATTACTCTTGATAAATATTAATGTACGTGGCACCCATTGTTTACCAGACAAGTCGTGGGCCCCCGAGACCCTGTTATAAGTGATATAGATGAATGAAACAAAGAAAATACAAATGTAGTATTTTTTTTTTATGCTTTCCTTAATACATACTTTAGATTTATTCTATTCAGTGGACACTATTTCAACTCTCTGACTCATTACTGTACTGTTCCACCTGCAATAAATTATTCATCTTTCACGTTAACAAGGCATGCTTGACCTCCTCTGAACCACCTGCGATGTATTATGGACTTCTGTGTTAATATTTGTTTTTTGTGACTACTGTGTAGCAATAACTTTTTGGGATGCTGTTGAATAGCAAACAAAATGCACTCTAGAGATCAATAAACTTCCATGTATTGTTTAACCTTATTTCACATTTCTGTTCATTTTTTCAATTAGAAGCATTCACATGTTAATATTTGATAAATCTAGTGATTAATATGTATATATAAAGCACCCATGTCAGGTGGCTTCCGTACAAGGCTGGCCGCTTCCTAAATTTCGAAGCAAGTTTTGATTTTTCTGTGCGATGACTTTTCCCCCATGTTGTTTTAAAACATAATTGAACAATGCAGTCCTGTTCCACTGCTCTAAAGAGTCGACACGGGCTGCGGCGATTGTGCGTCAATGCACATCTGTTCTTATGTCATCCACCCCCGCTGGGCGCGCCCGTCAGGGAGCTCCTCCGAATTTAAAAGGGAGATCAAGATGCTGCTGGGAGTGTTTTACCATGCAAACAATACGATATGAAAGTAGCTAATGTGGGACGAATTATGTACTGGTGATGGGAGTAAAGAGTAACCCACTTCATGCTGGAGACCTTACTGGTTTATTGGGAAAAATAAAAGCCCATGCATGTCCCCTGCTGATGCATTAGGGGTAGAGGGGTTCCTAGAACTAGTCTGTTTTTATTTGGAGGTCCCTGGTTTAAAAAAGGCTGAAAACCTATGGGATAAGCAAAACAGTGTCTCTATATTGCCTATACAGTGTGTTTGGGTAGTGTGTGTGTGTGTGTGTGTGTGTGTGTGTCTGGTATCTCATCCAGGATGATTATTTGAATATATATCCCGTTCCTTCATTCATATTTTCAATGGTGGCACTATTTTTTCAAATGCACTAATACTGGTTTTTGAAAATCTGTTTTCTTTTTCTTGCATCGGTGTATGATGTTATGGTTGAGTAGCATGAATGTGAGGTTTAACTGTAAGGGCCCCTTCAGGGAGTTCGACGCTCAGCGGGTCTGCTGACTGCTCTTTTTAAGCCCGATGCCCGGATACCTGCAGCACAGACATTTCAGGGCCTTTCTGTCGCGTTTTCACACTGCAGACGTCAGCAGCAAATTTGACACCTGGGGTTTACAGCTAGTCTGCAGACTGATACTGTCACATCCTCTCGAGAAACTTTAGCCGTTATAACAGGAAGCTGCGTGCCTGGTATTCCCGTACAGGTGCTGCCTCTGTTTCTGGGCACTGCAAGCAAAGGACCGTAACTATATTTGTACAACAGTGAGATAATCCAGTTCAGCTAATCAACTTAAGCGGCATCCCTGAATGAAACATGTATATCACAGCAGACTGTGCTTCTGCCTCTGAACAGAGATTTTTTTGGAGAAATTTTGACAAGATCCAAAAATGATTATTGCACCAAAAAAGTATTACTAATTTGTATATGGTTTTATCTCCTTTGCTGACGTGGGGAAACAATCAATGGTCTGAATTGGAAAGAGTCAATAGTAAGTCACCAAAGTTACAGGTGGTTCCATGTCAAGTGTGTAGGTCTCTGCTGCTTCCTACCTGTGATTTGGCAAAATAAGAATCACCCCAGAGCACCACCCCAGCGGCTCCAAGCGCGGCACTCTCCCCAATGGTGTGGACCAGGTCCTCCTGTGACACAAAGAGTCCGAAGAACCATCAGCCATTGTCTGAGAAGGAGCACAACAACCAAGAACAGCACTGTAACAGATCACGTGCAGCTTTGTTTGAAGTGTGCCCATTATTTGCATGATTAAATACCGTCAGCGCTCACTCTGCATGACTTGCCTCAGACAGGAAGTTGAGGGAGTAGGTATAGGCGATGCGTGCATAGGGCAGTACTGGCGGAGCTGCTGCTGCTGAAACTTGACTCGCGACTCTCAGGGCTTCCAGCACGCGATAGCGGGTGTAGCGGAGGATGGCCTCCCCCCGGCCCTGCAGCGACAACTCCAAGTAGATGTCAGGGTAGAGGGCAGAGCTGATATTCCACAACCAGCTCAGCTGGTTGTTCCTCTGCACTTCTTCTTGGGGGCAGACCCCTGTGTAGTTGGCTGTAGCATTCTTATATTGATTGTTGTAGCAGCTTGGAAACCCATAGAAACCCCAGAGCCCCCCAGGCCGAAGGCTGCGGCCTAGTTTCAGGGTGTCATCCATAAACGCCCGTGCAGCTTCTTCAAACTCCTTCTGGGCCTCAACCTCCACTTGCGCTGGGCTCCAGTCTGGATGCCGGGCCCTCACCAGTACCCTGGAGCCCGCCCAGTATACGCTCTTCGAGTCCCAGTTTCGAGACCATAGGGGCCTCCAGCTCTCCCAGTCCACCACGGCCAACCCAGAAAAGTCAGGCTGGGGGATGTCAGTCAGGATGTTGGCCTGGGCAGCTTGCAAGTGGAGTTGCAAGCTAGCATTTTGGGGCACACCGCCATTGATGGCCACGCCCTGGCCATTGTAGTATGGGTATAGCCCTAGCTTGCTCTCATAGAAAATGGTGATGTTTCCACCCATGAACGTTTGGTTCTCATTCACTGCAATGTCAAATATGCCCAGGTCCAGGTCTACACCGTACTTGGACTTACAAGGCTCTGTTGGGGCATTCCAGACAGTGAGGAAAGGGATATTAGCCAAAGAGGGTGAGGCGTTAGGCTTGTACCATCCTGAGATGGGCACCCCAATCCACAGGAAGATAAGGATTAGACGCACCATGCTGCTCCTTCACCCATCGAGGGAGTAAGTCCGTCTGTGGTAAAGCAGTAAAACCAACATTAACACTCTCATGGCATTAATATACTTGCAATGTTCTATGCCTATAGGCAAAAGTTCATTCATGAACCCAAGGTTAACTTAACATGCCTTATGTGCATTACTTTCACTGCTGGAAAAAAATATATATAACCCGAATAAGTGTGTGTTTTTTTTTTTTTTTGAAAGTCCATTTTGGACATTGGCTTGTGACTGGACAGTTACAGCAATGCAATAGCCAAGAAGAGTTTCAAACAATTACAATACATATTGGAAGAGACTTTCATTGTCTAACTAGATACGCTGATTTAAGGTGAGTTTAGTATGTTAAGCTTACTAGCTAGTATTGGCTCGTTCAGCGTGAGATTTACGCAGAACTATATAATACAAACTAGTTAGTTTAGATAACTCATTCCTGGACAGCACATACATTAGTGATTTTTGACTAACTTGTAACAACAATTAAACATATTTTGTTTCGTTGTGAATATATGTATGGCAGTTAAAACTAAATTTCTTGTATTATTTTCGCAATATGATATCGCCACACACTGCATAAATCTGGCATGGCAAATGACTAACATTTTGGATGGGTTACATTTTAAAGTTTTATCGTGAGCATAAAGCTTAGCCTATTTGAGCATTTCGTGACCCTCATTTAGATTTAGCTCCGACTATCAATCCAGAAAAAGCCGGGTGACAAGAAGAAGAACGAGGGGAAACGCAGGAAGAAACACACCAAATAAGCAGACACTAAAATGGTCGTGTGATTAGTTATAAACAGCACGCCTGCTTGTTAAAAACAGACTTATTTTGGATAATGCTGTAAAATAAACAAGCTCACAATCAAACAACCTCAGAACAAACTAAAGACGCCGCCACTAACCAAGACTGCATTAAAAACCTGAAACTTTTCATTAACTCCGTTCTATGATACTCGTTTAAGAAACTCAGAAGACGAACTTGGCTTTACACATTGACGAATAAACTCGGTCACGCGATTATTATTACTGGCGGTGCCACTGTAGCATAATGTCTAGATGACGGTTTTCGGGACGTGTGTGTTTGTGCTCTGAGGTACTTCGTTACAGACGCGGAGCTCTTTACGAGTCTGCATCCAAAACAAAATTACGAATGCCAAACTACGGCGTTAAAGTTTCTCAAACTTCCCAGGAATATCTCTGCTTTGTTACTTACCGTTGAAGAAGACGCAGTTGAGTAAAATGGGGGTTGGAAAGTCCAACTTTAGCAGAACATATGCGTTACGTTTCGAAAACTCTTGTTCCCATATAGAAATATACACGATCCGTAATCCCTTTCTATCAAAAACACCGAGGACTGAAACTACTAACAATTAAGTTTAAAATATTACTTAAACGTTATTTTAAGTGATATTTCTTGCTTTTTCATTACCCCGAAAGGCATACGTACAGCGCTCAGAGTAATAGTGCCGTGCACCATATACTACCAGAAACACCTATTGTATGCGCCTTTTAGCATTTTGAAGATGTACAATCTGTTAATGATAATCAAGTCCGACGTATTAAGATGATTTTTATTTTAATTGTGTTATGGATTCAACCTAAACATTCACTTCCTCGTTCCCTGTGCTTCCCGGAGGCGGCTCCTGGCTGACCGTGCAGCCTCACCGTACAGCAGAAGTGTCATGGTCTCGTACAGATTTGTGAGAAACGTATGGACTGCTTTCGTTCAAATGCTAGGATGTTAGCGGTAGCCGTATGAAACAAAGGCATCGAGATCATCACGCAAGCAACCACCAGGGTATGTTACTCAGTAACACAACCACCATTAATCTTCCAATAGTTTATCCCGCTCAGGTTTGTATGGGGGTGGAGCTAATCGCAAATTACATAGAGCACAACGTTTGGTCTTTACCCTGAAGGGGATATGTCAGTCCATTGCAGGACGGACCCACACCAAAGCAATTTAAAGAAGCCAGATCGCCTAACTGCTTGTCTTTGAACTGCAGGAGGAAATTTGCATGATTCAGGACATCATACAAACTCCACACACATAGACTGTCCAAACCTGAACATATGAAATAACCATCCCAATCCACAACCACTAGTGATCTTGTATTTGGTTTTGCTACTTTCTGTAAAATATTTAGCAGATTCAGTAAAATCCTCCCTAGATCTACATATTTAGCATGTGTAGCATCTTGACAGCATGACATTTTTCAATGTTTGCAATGTGCTATTGGCAGAGGTGGGGACTTGAGTCACTCACTCTCAACTCGACTTGGACTCTAGTCACAAATTTGATGACTTGTGACTTGACTAGGCAAAACTGTTGAAAAGACTTTGACTTGAGGGCAAATGACTCGAGTCTTGGACCCGAATTGGACCCTATGACTCGAGAAGACTTGAGGTTGTAATCCCCCCACTGGATAACATAACATTCATTTTATAATTTCTCTGTATGTCTGCATTTTCAAAATGCAACGTATTCTGAGATAGTTTGTTGGAATGAAGCATCACTCCCTGCATATACGCAGACATAAAAACTGTCAGGACAACACTGAGTGGACACTCTCTTTTCAACCCATCTCTGCTTATAAAGAACATATCCTACAATGTACTGTGGTAGATTATCAGCTGCAGCAACTTTTAATCACTAAAGGTAAAAAACTGACATAAGTAGGGACTGAAGCTACATGACTCACAATTAGACTTGGACTCAAGTATCAAATTTGATGTCTTGTGACTTGATAGCAAAAATGATGGAAAAACTTGGACTCGACTTTGACTTGGGGGGGAAACGACTCAAGACTTGACTCAGACTGCAATGTTTTTACTTGAGACTTGTCTCGGACTTGGATAAGGAATGACTTGTTCTCCTCCCTGGCTATCTGCCTCACTTATAGGTCACTATGTGCTAAATGTGTAATAGCTTAAGACAAAAAATTGGCAGTAATTATCACAATATCACAGGTGCTATAAAGTCTACTGTTAACAGAATATGTGTGCTTAAACCTGCCACTTTTATAATTATGTAATACATGGTAAATGTAATGATTAAGGTTGCAAAATTCTGGAAATTTTCCTGTTAATTCCCATATATTCCCATGGAAAGTTTCCAATTTGTAGTATTTCCAAAATTCCCCAGCTTATCTTCCCATGGAATGGAAATATTCTGCAAAGTTTCTGGAAATTTTCCATCCCTTTGCAACCCTAGTAATGATAAACCTTTGTCTCAAATTATAGATTTGCATTCCTGAGGAACATTTGCTGACATGTAACATTGGGATTTAATATCAAGAATATGTGTACAAGCCAAAGGAAATTTTGCTACTAGTTCCAATGACTTTTAATATCAGCCAAGAAATATTCAATGTGCCCCTCAGTACATGAGCTGTAATACACATTCCGTACATTCACATGGTCATTTGGCACAATACCCTAATCAAACTCATAATCATCTTCTGTAGTAAATATGAGTGCCAATATATTCAGTAGTGGTTGCAGAGACTCACCAATGGCAGGATAATTTATTTATATAATGTACTTCTGGATTTTAGTCACTTGAATTAAAAAGTATCTATACCACAATTTTGTTAATTTTTATCCAGACGTCGAGAGAGCACTGGAGATTCATTTCTCAGTAGATTACCGCAGACTGGTCTTTCCCCACCAAGGGTCAAAGGGCAAAGCGGCAGTAAACCTGCGGAGACCCCGAGAAGCATGGCGCCCGTGTCTGGAATGAGTTAGGAAACAAGGCTCACTCTGTATTTTCAGGCCAATAATATTGCTTTTGGCACCAGTGCTTCACCATTCCAAACTGGAAAGGATCCCATAGTAGAAAATCACTGCGGTTCCATCAGTCAGCAGAGAGATGCTTTAGGAACCTGGTGGGAGGCAGGGAGACCTGGGGTCTCTTCAAATAGTCATGGGGGGGGTATGGATTCCAACTACTGTTACAGTATCGCTCCAGCATCTCACCGGGGCAATCAGCAAGATTCACTGCAAGACAGCTCACTGATTTTTATAATAATCTATGGTTAGTCTCTTGCAAGAGACATAATGGTGACATAATTCCCGTACTTTGTATATATTCTATGCTTACCATTAACTAGAAAGATTTTTAAACCATACAAACATGCATCATCAATGTATACATTTGACATCAATTAATAATAGTGCAACCATCTCTCAAAAGAAACCTTACATGATTTATATATTTAGAATTGACTTCCCATAGCAGCTGAAATACTGCAAATTCCAAGCTGGATAAGACTAGCCTAGTATTCACCAGTAAAGGTACAAGAGGCATTAAGGAATATTCTTCCATTTTCCATCTCTGAGCAGTCCAGGACACACAAGAGAACATCGTATATTTAAAGCTTAAGGCTTTAGGCCCAGAAAATGTCCTGGGTGGTGTTTTTTAGAAAGGTACTTACCTCTCAGTTAACAAGCCAGCTGTGCAAGGAAATGAAATGTAATTATAATCGCTGGAGCTTTTTGAGTTTTATGCTTAAAAGCTGCTGTGAGGAACCAGGCAGATTTAAGAAAGCAGACGGATCTTATCTCCGTGACAGATGGTCCCATGAGAAGGTCGTCCACAAGTGATGGAACATTTGATCTCAAAGCCAAAAATACCCAGAAATGTCTGACATTTATCTCATCCATGCTATGATGTGTAGTTGGTGTAGTTTTTTCCAGAGGGATATCAGGTAGACAAAACAAAGACAGTTTGGACTGAATATCGCATATTTGGTGCTTTTAACGTCAGAAATCTATGAACACCATCTGCAAATGCCATCAGCGGCTACAGCAGAAGTGAACACCAACCTTGATACAAGGCATGCTCAGTAACAGAGAAACCAGCAACAGTGTGAAATCAGTTTAATTATAAAATCTCTTTAATCTGCCAATAATAATAATATAATAAAAAAATAAGCAGCTTCATGTAATTAGTGCATCCAGCAAATACCTCATGGAAATCTGTCCAGGGCTGAAGGTAGCTTTTGTGGGCTAAATTCCCAGGAGAACCTGGAAAAACCTTTGGGTACGGAAGGGGTGCAGTGCTGTCTAGGCCCTTCCTAGCCTAGAACTGATGTGTAAATCATGGTTTATTGGTCACACCCACCAGCAACCAGACACGTGAGCAACGTAAAATGCATTGAAGTGCATATTAAGTAAGGAGTGAACAGGATACTGATGGCAGCAATAAAGCTGAACTGAAACACGTGACTATAGTGGAAGGCTCAGGAAGGGGAAAGTTATGCAAATTAAAAACAAACACATGCATCTACAAAATGCTGGACTGAAAGTTTGTGATTAAAACATGGAAAAAGAATCATTTTAAAATTTTGATTTAAAACCTCTGTACCACATTTGGCCAAGACAGCTGAGTTGGGGAGGGTAAATTACTGTACCTCAACTTTCACTTCTGCCCAACAGAGTAGTTCATTCACGGCTCAGCTAGACCATCTCTCCCCTGACCTTTCCAAGTGCACCAACTTTTAAATTATTCCTTAAATGGGCACTGGATTGAGGATCGCTTATATAAACCCAACAAAGGGATGAAACAGGTACAGAACCACACAGGCGCAAAGTATTCTCTTAATGTTCCAGTTAAAATAGCAAAAATATACAAAAGACAAATGAAAGCATACAAAGAGCATGGTGCTTTCTCTTATTATCAGGGTCCTCATTTTCCAGGAACCACCGATTCCCAGAAGAGCAGCAGAGGAAGGTTTCCACACTTGCACAGGAAAAACAAACATGGCTGTCCCTTAACTGAGATAAAGAGACACAGGTTGACATATGATATATATTTGTACAAGTGAGCTACACACTGACTCACAGGCACCTCTATACAGTCACACACAGAAACAGGTGGAGGAAACTAAAGTTTACTCAACACAAGAAAACCAGAACCACCCCCATAAAAAACATCTAAACCATCTGGTCACGCTGGATTTCGTTCAGTGAAAGACAGTGCTGCTGTAAGGACATTAACAATTGCACCGCCCTACTCTGAGCCTCTGAAGATGGTTCATGCCTTCTTCAGGCAGGTGGTGTGGGGCTCAGCAGGTTAGGGTGCTGTGCTTGTGATTAGAAAGTCGCTGGTCTGAATCCCCTTAGCAACCCCAACTGTCCCAGTTAAGGGTTGGTGACCAACTAACCTGCTTTCTTTCAAAAATGTCCATCGCTTTGGATAAAAGTGTCTCCTAAAAAAAATCAAGATCATGAGATGTGATGATGCATAGGTCAGGTGTATGCCACAAATGGAGTGGTCCTTTATTTCTGTGGCCTGTGGGATCTACCCATTCCCCTTTGGTTGGATACACCATCCCAGTCATTCCCCAGATCCCTTCCCCAGCTCTCACCAAGGATGACGTCCAAATGGAGCTTGAGGCTACAGCTAGGACCTGAACTGCTGTCAATCTCCAGGTCAGTGGAGGAGGAACAGTAGGAGCAGGGAGAACATAACCGACACCCACGTCGCCCCCATACTAGAGGAGGCCCCTGGTGGTCCAATCTCCTTGGAACAAGAGTCGCCCTGGTAGCCGCTGTAACACTGGCACTGGAAATCCCTTTTGAAGGTCTCTCTGTCACCAGCCCCCAGCTGCCCTCGAACCTGCAGCCGCCTGCCAGTACTCTCCAGCGAGAAGCTCTGCGGGTTCAAGTGCAAGTAGGAGTCGGCATCCGCGAAGCGGCGAAGGCAGCGGCCACGGGAGCTGCAGCGCGACTGGCTGCAGTGTTGTGCGGCCGTGGTGACGTTGAGCAGGTACTTGCCCAGAGGACCCTGCAGGTACGAGCTGAGGTTGGAGCAGTTGGC